ATTCTAATGAGATAATCGTAAATTCCAGGTTCCAGTGAAATTGGTCATTGTGATTAGTAACAATCTGAAATATACTAATAAAGGCGCTGACAGTTATGCACTGGATATAGCCAAAAAAATTCGAAATGAAAATGTTAACGCGCCAATTTGCATTATTGATCAGCCGGAAAATCGAAGGTAAGTCAGACTTGATTTTTTCTTGGCTAACAGATCAATTTAGAATGGAGTGACACTGAGAAGAACTGATTACGACAATGTTTATCCACAGAATGTGTTTGATAGGATGAACATTAATTTCGGTGTCGAACAAAAATGTCCTTCTTGATGCTTTACGAAATAGGGCGAATGCCGTAATAATTATGGACAAACGATCAATATTTTAATATTGCCATAACAAATATCTTAGTTTCAGAGAATACATCAATGTGATAGGGATGCCCAAAGTGTTATTGTTTTACGGACCTGACGTAAAAGCATCGACCCTTTTAGTAGAAAAAAATGATACCAGCGATATTTTGAAAACAAGATTTGAGAAATGGAAGGTTTGTTTTGTTTATTCGCTCTAATTGTTTTTCAATTTACTTCAGTTTATTCGTAATCGCTAATGTTGTGGAGTCATTTTCTCGTTAAAAGCTTGTTAATTCTTCAAACTTTTGAGGTTTGATTGCTTTTTTACGTGATTCCACGTGATCCCAATATTTATCAAAAATATGCTCGTTATAACTTTATTAAATGTGCAAAATTATCCTTTTTCTGCAGGAGGAATTGCTCTTCCTTAACAGTCATCAAGTAATAGCCTTTCATTTTACTGTGGTCAATGGAACTGAAGCGGAGGATAGCGAAGAAATATTCAGGTAGGGTATTAAGAACATTCAACGAGACATTCATGATCAGTTTCCAGAATGGCATATTGGTATATTGCGGAAATGTCATAACAAAAGTGGAAGAGTAAACGATTTTACTGGCTCTGCTGCTTCTCCGATCTGATAAGACTATGGATTGATCAGTGATAAACATTTTAGTACTATAATATTTAATGAGAGTAAGCGTACTATTAGTAATGGTAGCATTACATACACTACTACACCAAATGAATTCGAATTTCTGAGGCACTCTGAAGGCTCGCGGTCACAGTCGTGCAAAAAAAAGATCAAGTGACTGACGTGACATTGTAACTGTTGGATTTCCATAATTGGATTTCATAATGGATTGTCATAATTGGATTTCTGTATTTGAATACGTCTATTCAGTTTTCGATAATTTGCAATTAATATCATTTTTTCTTTGCAGTAATACATTCCCAGATATTCCGCTGAGTACGTTACGTTTACTCGATAAATCATCGTTGACTGGAGTTGACTATCAGGTTGAAAAAAAGTCTGATTTCTATATCGGTCCCGTGTATGCCATTGTTGGTTTTCGAAAATTTGGTGAAGAAAATCCAGTTGCGGAAGATCTCTCCGAGGAAAACAATTGATTTTTATTATTGATTGACTGTTTCATAGACACAGTTCAGATAAATCTCGACAAGTCTCGATCAATTGTTTTGTCAGCAGTTAGAGCCATAAAGATATTTTTATGAAGATGTGATAAATATCTGGCAATATATAAAAACGAATTATTCATTAGAAATATCATGCAAAATACGCAGACTAAATAGTTCAATTTTTGTGTCTTGAAAATGCAGCCATAATTAGGCCTTTGATTAGAGACAGCGATGAATGTGCGTTAATTGACTGTGTCAATGAAATATTGCTTTCATAGATAACAAACAAAATTTTCGAAATTTTGTCAACTTAATATCTCTCCCACTAATATTACTCCATATTGTTTATACATTATTTCTTTTGATGAGTAACAACAGTAAATGATTAGTAATATGTATGAGATTTAGGCTCAAAGTTGGTTGCTTCAGTGAAGAATAAGTTCATTTTGTTTTAGCAACGATGTCTATTCAATACTGTAAAATGAGTAGAAAAATTTGTAGAAATGAATTTGGTGAGGGGGGAAGCAGTTTGTGACAGTAGACTGAATTCTGAACGAAAATATTGACATTCTGTAGTGAAATGATCTAATCGGTCAAAGATTAAAAAGATTCAGAAAAAATCGAAATCTCAGTTTTTCATTCTGCACTGAATAGCAGTACAATGTAAAATAGAAATTATTTCAAACAAATTATGAAAAAAGTGAATAATACGGTCACAAGCACTTTTTCTATAGAAATTGGGATTAACAGAATATTTCGTGTCAATGGAAGCCTTTAATTGAATTGTCACCAACAGTTTTTACTATAGAAACTGGGATTAACAAAATATTTCGTGTCGCTGGAAGCAATGGAAAACAGAATATTTCATATCACTGGATGTCGGAAAAACTCCGAAAATCATAATGGAAATTTTCTGTCAGATTACCGAAATGAAAGCTACGCGAAAACAAAATTCCCACAATGTCAAATGAAAGGTACGTGCAAACAAAATTCCCAGAATGTCCAACAAACGGGATGACGAAACTTGTAAAATTAATGCAATGAAGAGGATATAAGCTAACAATGAATGAAAACAAAAACGTCTCAGTACCTACACAACGGATAGTGTCAAAGACTAGCCATACCTCTATGATTACCCCGACGGAGCTTACAAAATCCCTCCCCTAATCCTTATTATGTATATATCACCCAAGTACTACCTCATTATCATTTTCACTTAAATATTACGACCATTCGACTGTCATATTTAATTATTGATGCAATGTTTG